ACACATAAAAGGGGTGATTGGCAAACAAACTTTTAAAACTGTAAGGACTTTAATTTTTTAAAAAAGTTTTTTAAGTCATAATTTACCCAATCACACTTTATTGATTTAAAAGTTTTAAAAATCCTAAAATTCTTCTTTAAAATTCTCATGTCTATAAAATCTGACTTTGGGGTGATTGGGAGAGACACTTTTAAGGCTCTAGGTTTTAAAAAAAAAAATTTTCAGTTTTTTTCTACAAAGTCACGTTAATTTTTAAAGTCTATAATAGATGGCTTTTTTTTCTTTAAGTCACAGTCCCAAAAACATAAAAAAAAAAGTCACAACCTAATTTATTTTACAGTAACAGTCTATTCCTAAAAATCATAACCAATCAGCTTCTTTTTTTTTTTTTTAGTCACAGTTATATATTTAAAAATAAAAATTTTTACAGTAATTTTTTTTTTAAAATGTACGGCCAAAAATTTTTGAAGTTCCAACCAATCATCCCAAAAATTAAAAACGAGATTCGTAAATAAGCATAAGTAGTAATAATATTTAACCAGGAAAACCATTTCCCGGTACAAGGAAAACCATTAACCACATGAAATGCCTTAAGAGAAGAGCAACATCCCATGGGCTAGCCATGTACTCTTCTTCTGGATTTTGATTAGGTGAAACTCTTCTTCTACTTGTTGAATCTCTCCCACTTGTTCAATGTTTTAGCATCAGCCAAAGTCAGTAAATCAAAACAAATGCTTTCTATATCAAATTAAAAGGGTAGAGAATAAGTATACATACCTGTTCGATATCGCGTTTATGTACACCACCTGTTCGATAAAATGTCTGTGATATTTATTCCTTGACATTTGATTCTCTTTTTGCGTTTTTTTTTATTCTCTTGAAAGTGAATTGGTTGACAACTTGCCTTGTGATAGAATGTGTGAAAATTTGCTGGCTTTTTCAGAGAATTGTGTATCATGTTTATATCTCATAATATTTGATTTCTCCCTAAATCAGGCTCATCTTGATTTCTAGCTAGGGAGGAGGACTGTCTTCATATGAGTTTAGACATGAAAATTCAGGTTTGCATATGTGAAGAATTTAACACAGTGGATTCTATTGCATTTTTATTACGATACTGAATTCTTTGTTTGGTTGTGTAGCGGAGTGACATGTCTTTGTAGCTGAACCTTCCACACAGATTCCTTTTGAAAGGTTAATTTGAAATGGCAAAATTTTTGAGATTAGGAGCTAGAGTTTCTGTTAGCAACAGTCAGGTGCCGGCAACATCAAGTTGGGGATCCGCCATTAGGAACGAAGAGTTGATGAATGATCACATAAATTCCCTGTGTAAACAAAATTTATACAGGGAAGCAATGAAAGCGTTTGATTTTGCACTCAAGAACCCAAGCTTCAAGATAAGGTTAAAGACCTATGTTTCTTTAATTTGTGCTTGCTCTTCGTCGAGATCTTTAGCTCAAGGCAGAAAGATACATGATCACATTTTGAAATCCAACTGCAAGCATGATACTATTCTTAATAATCACATTCTAAGCATGTATGGAAAATGTGGCTCGCTGAGGGATGCTAGAGAAGTTTTTGATTTTATGCCTCAGAGGAATTTGGTCTCTTACACATCTGTAATAACTGGATATTCACAGAACGGTCAGGAAGCCGAGGCAATCAAATTGTACTTGAAAATGCTTCAGGCAGGTGTAGTCCCTGACCAGTTTTCATTTGGAAGCGTCATCAAAGCGTGTGCCCATTCTGGTAATGTTTGGTTAGGGAAGCAACTGCATACTCAAGTCATCAAGTTGGAACCCAGTTCTCATCTAATTGCTCAAAATGCTCTTATTTCTATGTATGTTTGCTTCAATCAAATTTCAGATGCAATCAAAGTGTTCTCTGGTATCCCAATAAAGGATCTAATTTCGTGGGGTTCGATCATCGCAGGGTTCTCGCAACTTGGATATGAGTTTGAGGCTTTGAGCCACTTAAAAGAAATGTTGTCTTATGGTGTTTTCCATCCAAATGAATATATATTTGGTAGCTCTTTAAAAGCTTGTAGCAGTCTCCTTCGACCAGATTATGGAAGCCAAATACATGCGTTATGTATTAAGTATGAGTTAGCTGGAGATGAATTTGCAGGCTGCTCTCTCTCTGACATGTATGCTAGATGTGGTTTCCTGAGTTCTGCAAGAAGAGTATTCAATGAGATAGAAAGGCCGGATACAGCATCATGGAACGTGATCATTGCTGGACTTGCAAATAACGGCTACCCTGATGAGGCCGTATCATTTTTCTCTCAAATGAGGAAATCTGGTTTTGTCCCTGATGCTATCTCCCTGCGCTCGTTACTTTGTGCTCAGACAAACCCAATGGCTCTGCGTCAAGGCATGCACATTCACTCTTTCATTATCAAGTATGGTTTTCTGAGAGATCTTTCAGTTTGCAACTCTCTGCTTACCATGTACACCTGCTGCTCGGACTTGGATTGTTGTTTCAAGNTATTTGAAGACATCGGAAACAACGCAGATTCTGTTTCTTGGAATGCTATTCTGACCTCATGTTTGCAACACGAACAGCCAGCAGAGATGTTGAGACTATTAAAGCTGATGCTTGTCTCTGAATGTGTGCCGGATCACATAACCATGGGTAATCTGTTACGGGCTTGTGTGGAAATTTCATCTCTGAAATTGGGAAGTCAAGTCCATTGCTATAATTTAAAAACCGGGTTGGTGCTTGAACAGTTTATAACAAATGGGTTGATTGATATGTATGCCAAGTGTGGATCACTCGGGCAAGCGAGAAGGATATTCGATTCAATGGATAACCGAGATGTAGTTTCGTGGAGCACTTTGATAGTTGGATATGCTTTGGCTGGATTTGGAGAGGATGCTCTCATATTGTTCAAGGAAATGAAAAGTTCGGAAATAGAGCCAAATCATGTAACATTTGTCGGTGTTCTTACTGCATGTAGTCATGTTGGGCTGGTGGAGGAAGGCTTGAAGCTGTATTCAATCATGCAAACTGAACATGGCATTGAACCAACAAAAGAGCACTGCTCTTGCATAGTCGACTTATTAGCTCGTGCTGGCCATTTAAATGAAGCTGAGAAATTCATCGATGAAATGAAGTTGGAACCTGATGTAGTCGTGTGGAAGACTCTACTGTCTGCATGTAAAACCCAAGGAAATGTTGATCTTGCCCAAAAAGCTGCTGAAAATATTCTGAAGATCGATCCTTTCAACTCTACCGCTCATGTATTGCTCTGCGGCATACATGCTTCTTCTGGGAATTGGGAAGGTGCGGCATTGTTGAGGACCTCGATGAAAAAGCAAGACGTTAAAAAAGTTCCGGGACAGAGCTGGATTGAAGTTAATGATCAAATTCATATATTCTTTGCTGAAGATGTTCTTCATCCAGAGAGGGATGGTATATATACAGTCGTGCACAACCTCTGGTTGCAGATGCTAGATGAGTGTAATCCGAAACACAAGAAAAGGCTCCAGTTTACCGATGAGACCGGATAAGCAAACTTTTAAGTGAAGTTTTTAGCTTCTAAGTAAATACAGAGAATGCCATTGTGTCTCATCTGTAAGTTACATCTTCGGATACTTGACTCTTAATTGGTTAAGGCATTTGAGGTATTAGTTCGCTTGATCGTAACAGTGAAGGAAATTTTTCTTATTGTGATGAAAGTTTTCAAGGATCTCAATGTTTTCTTGTTCTATTTTCGTTTTGTGACTATTTTAGCGGAGAACTGGTTACCACATTGGACTGCAGCACGCAAGCGGAATGAGACAAAGAAGGATACATCTCAACTATCTGATGAGTATAAATGTGAATAGGATGATTCCCCTACACTGTAAATCTTATGAAACCGGTGAGTTACATGGCTTAGGTGGTTAAGTAGAATGATGGATCATGAGTTGCTTCAATTTCCTGATGCAGACTGCTTTCTGATGTTAAAATCCTTGGGGTTTTTCCAGGTTTGAACATGTAAAGGCTCCAAAACACAAAGCATTGGCTCCTTAAGGCTCTTGGAAAGTGTAAATGGCCAAAGAAATGACGATGGAGCTTCCAGAAATTGTATTTTTCTTATAATATGTCAAGAAGATGGATCTAAGGTTTGAATACTGTATTTACGATTTCGAAAATGATTTGAATGAATATCCAAATTGAGCTTCCTTACCTCTTATATCACTCGGTTTGGCATCAACCAGAGATTGGCGTAGGTTGAGAGGCTAAATAATGAGCAAGGAGACAGAGAAAATGAGATCAAAGATGATTGATGAAAAAGACTCTAGCTGCAACCAAATGTGTGTATGAAGGCGAAACTAGACAGACCGAAAAATAGTCTACCCAAGCAAAAGGGTGGTTACTACTTACTCTCCAAATGACTCAAGACAATCCTCATAACATAAGTAAAGGACGAAAAACGAAAAACTTGGTACCGAATATAAAAACTTTTATCCAGCTTTGAACAAGGCACAAGTGATGCTAAGCTGGGTTTTTATTCTCCAGGGACAGGGACTCCTTGCTTCAGCTTCTCACGTTTGAGCTTCTTTTTGGAAACAGGCTTCTTCTTCTTTGGAGGTAGGTTCTTCTGAGCATACACGTAGAGCACGTAGTTGGCGATTAGGAACACAACGAGCGGACCTCCGACAACAAGCAGCACAATAAGTCCCGGGTTCAATCCTTTGGCTTCAGCAGCCGCCTATGGAAGTGAGACCAATGAGTGCATAAATCATACCAAAACTTAGAAACAATAGACAGTGGGATCGAGTGCATATACCAAGCAAAACGTGTATGCAACCGGAATGAGATGGATGTAAACCGAGCAAGGGATCGAATAGAAACAATAATCACAATATCGCTGATGTTTCAAATGAGAAGACACTGGTTTCTCAATAGGTTAAAAAATATCAAATATATCATTCTCCAACTATTCACAAATATGTGCTAATAGAAGCCACATGATAGTTGATACACATTGGCATATCGAAATGCAACAACTCAAAAATCAAAAATGAGCTTCTTTTTTTTCCCATTCAAATGCCCAAACAGTATTTGTAATAAAGTTATTGATCCTCCTGCGACTCAATCCAAATTCTTCAAAAGAAGTCCTTTTCCACACAAAGATTTTGTCTCTTAACAAATTTCAAAATCACAAGAATTTTGTTTTCAAAACAATGCATGCAATTTTTCACAAAGAGGTGAATGAATCAGATCGCAATTTTTCACATATTAGAATGCAATCACATGGGTCCTTAGATCATAAACAAAATATCCCAAATTCTCAAAAAAAAAAGAAATTACGAATACAGAAACCCAATTGAGAATTTCGGGATCGGAGAGAGCCGTCAAAAATTCAACAGACGCTGCAAAGTATATAACGGAGATTGACGGGTACCTTTCCGGCGAAATCGTCACCGTCCATGAATACGATCCAAAATTAAGATCAGCTCCAGTAACGTACGAATGGTAGGAGGATGAGAAAATTTGATTTCAAGAAACGAAGATCTGTTTTCGAACGAGCGATTAAGACACAACACACAGGCACACGCAGATATATATACGACACGTGTTTTATCCACTACATAGTAGTACATATCCACTTCCAGTCATTGGGAAACTCTTATTTTGACCCCCTTACTTTTCATGTATTTACGAATTCGACCCGTATCTTTTTATTATGCCAAATAACTAATAAGTTGCAACATCTGTAGGATTGTTTACTCCGGTTTTATGAATACGACTAACCAATTTAAAACCTATACTATACGGATTCAATTTGGTTTCGAACATGGCTAAGTGATATTAGATCAAAAATTTCCAACTAATCGCTTGAATGGTTTGATGCCTTTCTAAACAACCAAATTCGATGTTCTTATGTTTACATACATAAAGAAGAAGAAAAAATGAATTGAATATTACAACACAAATCACAATCAAACACACAAAAAATGCATCTGTTTGTTTTGATAAATCTTTTGATCTTATACCAAATGGTCGTCGTCGCCTCGAATGATAACATTATGTTCCGGCACAGACCACGACGAGGATCGGCTAGAGTTTAACGCAACGGTATTGCAATCAGAGAGTGTATCTTGCAAACTTAGCAACAAATGCGAAGTGCTAAAACTCATGGTAGGTCTAGACTTAGGCACGACCGGTACATCAGCTTCACCAATCAGCATTTGCACCACTGACCTCATCGTGGGCCGGGCCGCCGGGTCCGGGTGAGAACAAGCCAGTCCCACTACCATTACCCGCCACATCTCTCCTTCATCAAACTTACCTTCAAGCCTTGAATCAGCTGCAGCCGAAACTTTCCCATCTTTATACAAACCCCACACCCATTCTACCAAATTCGGATTTACCCCAACATTTTGTCTTTGCACATTTAAGTCCTTCTCGATCGGTCTTCTTCCGGTCACAACTTCCAAAACCACCGCTCCGTAGCTGAAAACATCCGTCTTCTCCGTGGCACGTCCCGTCAGAAGATACTCCGGCGCTAAATAACCCATTGTTCCGGCCGCGACTGTCGCTTCCGGCGATTTATCGTGTTCGATTTGTCTCGCCAATCCGAAATCTCCAAGCTTGGCATTGAAACTCTCGTCTAGCATAATGTTACTACTCTTAACGTCTCTGTGTATCACTTGATTCTCACACTCTCTATGTAGATAAGCCAAAGCAGAAGCAACTCCAAGCAAGATCTTTTTCCGGTGATCCCACGGTAACGGAAACCGTGACTCAAACAAAGCTTTATCAAGTGATCCATTTGGCATTAGATCATAGACTAGCAAAATCTCACCTTTATCGTGGCACCAACCTTGTAACCGGACAAGGTTCCTATGTCTTAAGCTTCCGATTATAGATAATTCCGACATGAACTCGTTCTTCTTGTCTTGCGAGCTATGGCTACACCGTTTAACAGCGACGATGTCTCCTGTCTCCGGTAATACTCCTCTGTATACAACTCCGAAGGCTCCATGTCCGATGATTCGATTCTCGTTGAAATTCTTCGTACCGGCTTTAAGCTCCTTGTAGCTGAATTCTTTAGGAGCTTTGATAATCTCCGATGCGAAAGAATCAGACCTCTCGACGCGTTTAAACTTTCTCGAGTAAATCCAGAATAAAGCTCCGGCGAAAAGTGCTAAAAAGAAAGCTCCGGCGGTTACAACTCCGGCGATTGCTCCTGGATTCTCTTTACATAGATGGTTGTGACAA